GGTCGACTACTACACAAAGAATCCTGAGGTGACCAACAACTGCAACTCTACGTTTCACAGCATGGTTTGTTTCGCGTGCGGGGGTGACATGTCATTCTGTGTCTACAAGCCGAACCTGGGAAACTTGAAACTGGCGGAAATTTCCGGGAATTCTTGCCAGGAAGCGAATCGCCCGGAGAAATAAAATCAGCCGTCAAAATATTAAGTAGGGATAATAGTGTTAGCAGTGGTGATGGTAATATTAGAAGTAAGTTAGAGGATAGAGAAGTAGTTATAGGAAAGAGTTTACATCAAAGGAAATTAGAATATGAAGAAGCAAGAAGAAGGATTTTTGCAGAAGAATTAGTCAAGAATAAGAAAAGTAGGAATTTAAAGAAAATTGAAAAAATGAGGGCAAAGCGGAGGAATTATAAAAGGATTAAGAATAAGATTATAGCAACAATAGTCACTGTGAAGGGTGGCAATCGTTTTTTTGCGCAAACCAATATAGGTGGCAAGCAGATGTTAGCCCTGTTGGATTCTGGTGCTGGCGCGAGTTGTCTAGGTAAAAACTCCCTAAAATTTTTGGAAGGAAGAGAGGATGGAATTCTCAAAATTAAGGGACAAAATATTCGAACCGCCAATGGTGGCGAAACGCCAGTGCTAGGTGCGATTGTTTTGCCGGTGTTATGGGATGGGGTCTCGAGAGATCTCGAGTTTTTGATCGTGCCCGATTTGCAGCAGGAGGTTTACCTAGGAATCGACTTTTGGAGAGCTTTCGATTTGGAGGTTGTCAGTAGGGGTGTTAAAGCAAAGAGCGCGGTCGTTGCAGAGCTCGCACCCGCCGAGGGGGACTTGTCATTTGACGCGGTGCAGCATGATTTAACGCATGAGGAGAGCGTAGCATTGGAAAAGATAAAAGCGCAGTTCCCATCGTTCGTCGTACTAGGGCTTGGAAAAACAGACCAAGAAGAGCACGTCATCGAAGTGACGAATGAAAATCTTCCGGTCAAACAGCGGCACTACCCTATATCACCACCGATCCAAAAGCTAGTGTATCAGGAGCTAGATAGAATGTTGAGTATGGGGGTCATAGAAGAAAGTAACAGTAGTTGGAGTTCCCCCGTCTCTCTGGTAATAAAAGGCACTAAGAATAGATTATGTTTAGATGCTAGGAAAGTAAACGAAAGGACAATTAAGGACGCATATCCACTACCGCACGTGGAAGGAATCCTCAGCCGACTACAGAACACACGCTTTATATCGGCTATAGATTTAAAAGATGCGTTTTGGCAGATTCCATTAGAGAAGAAGTCTAGGGAAAAGACAGCCTTCACAGTTCCTGGTAGGCCCCTGTATCATTTCACAGTTATGCCTTTTGGTTTGTGTAACGCGGCTCAGCGTATGTGTAGATTAATGGACAAAGTCATACCGGCTGCTTTACGTGAGTGTGTGTTTGTGTATTTAGACGATTTGTTAGTTTGTTCCGAAAGTTTTTCGTCTCATTTGTGTTTGTTGGAAAAGGTCGCTAGGTGTTTACGTGAAGCCAAGCTCACAATCAATGTTGAGAAAAGTAAGTTTTGTTATCGGGAAGTAAGGTATCTCGGGTACGTGGTAGGCGATGGTTGCATACGAACTGATGCAAACAAAGTAGCAGCAGTAAGAGACTTCCCTGAGCCTCGAAGTCCGAAACAGCTTCGGCGGTTCCTAGGGATGACAGGGTGGTACCGACGTTTTATTCACGAGTACGCAACTATAGCCGCACCATTACACGACTGTCTCACCAAGGACCGGATAAAAAAATTCACTATGA